TGTCTTCATCTGTCTTCAGCTGTGTTCAGCTGTCTTCAGCTGTCTTCATCTGTCTTTAGCTGTCTTCATCTGTCTTCAACTGTCTTCAGCTGTCTTCATCTACTGTGAGTCTTCAGCTGTTGTCATCTGTCTTCATCTGTCTTCAGCTGTCTTTAGCTGTCTTCATCTGTCTTCAGCTGTCATCATCTGTCTTCATCTGTTGTCATCTGTCTTCATCTACTGTTAGTATTCAGTTGTTGTCATCTGTCTTCATCTGTCTTTAGCTGTCTTTGTCTGTCTTTAGCTGTCTTCATCTGTCTTCAGCTGTCTACATCTGTCTTTGGCTGTCTTCATCTACTGTGAGTCTTCAGCTGTTGTCATCTGTCTTCATCTGTCTTCATCTGTCTTTAGCTGTCTTCAGCTGTCTTCAGCTGTCATAATCTGTCTTCATCTGTCTTCAGCTGTCTTCATCTGTCTTCATCTGTCTTCATCTACTGTGAGTCTTCAGCTGTCTTCATCTGTCTTTAGCTGTCTTCATCTTTCTTCAGCTGTCTTCGTCTACTGTGAGTCTTCAGCTGTCTTCATCTGTCTTTAGCTGTCTTCATCTGTCTTCATCTGTCTTCAGCTGTCTTCAGCTGTCTTCATCTGTCTTTAGCTGTCTTCATCTGTCTTCATCTGTCTTCATCTGTCTTCAGCTGTCTTCATCTGTCTTTAGCTGTCTTCATCTGTCTTCAGCTGTCTTCATCTGTCTTTAGCTGTCTTCATCTGTCTTCATCTACTGTGAGTCTTCAGCTGTCTTCATCTTGGGCCTCCCTCCCATTTTTCTTAAGGAGACACGCTGCTCGTTCCCTCACTCTCCATCTTTTGGTTCAAACAGTCTTTACTGTCATCCAGTGGTCAAAAAGTTCCTACATGCAAAACAAATTGACCAACATTTCTTCTTAAATTTGACAATAATTATTAATAATTTTCAAATTTCAAACAATATTATCGTTTATCGCAGTAAATTCTGAGAGCATGACTCTCCCAGCAACATTAGTTATGGTGACAGGTCTAGCAGGCGCTCAGCTCATCTGCAGCTGAGCTGAGACGTTTCAAAGTGAAGGGGAACTTTCTCTCATTGATTGTAATCAAACGTCAAATGTAGCTGTAAACAAAGATGAGAAATATTTGCTGTTTTCTGACACAATTTTTACAACAAACTCAAGTTTGAAGTTTGAAAAGTGAATATTTGACATGTTAATATGGAACTTTGAAAGAGTTTAATTTTTGCCCTAGATCTTGTACTAGAATGAGTTCTTGTTACGCTGCGAGCACATTTATCAAAGTTCACGCAGTAAGAGATGGACATGGATGCATGTTTGAATGATTCACACACATTTCCAGCACGCCCCGTGTGAAGTAAGTAAGTAAAGGTCGTTTGCACATTTGTGTTCTTGTGTCTCGTGTCTTGCTCTAGTCGTGGCCTTCAGTGTTGCCTTGAACCAGAACAAGCAGCTGATTGGTGAGAACGGCCTCCTGCCCTGTAAGAGCTACCTAAACAGTGTCAAGCGCTACGTGGGGGGGAAGATCGGCATGGCTGCCTTGGCCTACACGCCTTCCATCCTCTGGTTCTTGGACTGGAGCCACATGGATGCCAACCTGGATGCCATCGCTCTGGTGGGAATGGCATTGTCAGCGTTTGTCTTGGTGACTGGGATGGCTAATATGTGGATCATGGTCACACTGTGGGTCCTTTACCACTCGCTGGTCAACGTGGGGCAGCTGTGGTGAGTTTGAGTCAGTGTTTTAAAGGAACAATAAAAATGCATCATCGATACACCCAGCAAAGTTCACTCAGGTCCTCTGGACGGTGTCTTTGTGTTGACATGCTTCGTCTTTCATCCAAAGGACGTCATCAGTCCGAGGAGCCACAACAAAGTCAGTCCCATAAGTAGCACTCACATAGTGGGTCAACCAGT